ATGATGGCTTCGTCTGAGATTATAGAATGTTTCGTTTCTGAACCATTTATTAATTTTTATTAGGTCAACTCATTCAAACATGTCCAGACATCTAGAGAAATGGTGGGAAAAGTAAAAGAGCTAGAGCATTCTACTTGCTTTTGCTTTTAAGCTAGCACACCCAGCTACGGTATACCCTAATTTAGTTTATAGTGCCGCAGGAGGAAACACTTAAACACATAAAAGAATTCATAGTGACCCAAATCGAGGTGGAATTTCCAGATGACTGGTGACACACGTAAAATTCGCAACTCGAATTCTGTGTGTGCTGGCTCAACTTACGCGTGATACAGTGTTCTCGAAGTGCTACGTTGAAGATATGGTGTGAGAGCTCAAAGAAGGGAGAACGGAAGCGAGTTGTGGTTGAGGACGCGTTCATATTGTCCACCTTGCCCAAGAAGAGCGGGTGGATGAAATGAGGTTTCAAATGGCGCATCACAGATGTTGAACCTTTGCGATGTTTGCCCACGAGACTTGCAGTCTAGCTGCACCTGTTACGCAAATTGTGCCCAAAAATTGGGGATGGTCCACAGAACATGTTTTTGGATATCCCATTTACTCCCAGATGCAGGAGTCCAGAATCGAATTGGTGTCTGTAGCAATGATTTTCTCTGCCGATAACGGCATTTAAGACTATCAAACTGGACCCTGCTCATAAACGAAATTTGTGTGTAATTGTACGCTGAGGCCAAAGTCAGAAGTGTCAACTTTGGATTAACGCGAATGAGGAACTGCCCGAATTGGATCACGAGAAGTCACGTGGGTTCACGTGGATGATTATTATGGCGATGGATTTCTGAGGTGTGCCTCTTAAATGGCTCTGTCGGGAAAAAACCTCCGGCGTTTCTCAAGTTTATGGCTTGTTTCTTAGCGAACAAATTGACAAAGGAATAGCAGTATAAAACTACAATAACGATATCATCACCTATGTCGATACCAGACCCTACATAGCTCATATTGCTCACGGGTATTTCGATCAAACGGATATTGTGGCCTCTTCTTATCAGCCGTATTTTCCCAACTGCAGCCATGCGACCTCAGCTGTTTTATCGAACTGAACGCCCTACTCGTTCGGAAGCGCTACGACAATTCGTTGATCATCTATACTGACATCAAAAGCATCTTGTCTATACTTGTTGAAATGAAGAAGCTGCGCGGTGTCCAGTGTTTTCTAGACGCTGGGATCGGGTCGTTAACAACGACAAGATCTGCTTGACTTCACACCAAAGTATTAGCTTTTTATCTTTCCTGCTGTTCATTTTATTCGAATAAAACCGTGGACATGTTTGAATGAGATGACCTAATAAAAACCTCTCTGCAGACGGCTAGACAGATCAGTCACCTTCCCTGGTTAGTCCCAAACCTGAGTGCTACTTTTATGGAGTCGTATCCGCAGAGATCGTAGATGAACAGTCCACGTCGCCGCGTTACCCCTCAATTACGATAACACGGTTCACGGTGATGCACAGTCTTGAGACTAGGAGTTTTATACGTCTCCTTGGGCAGGGACTCCAGAGTGCGTGGTTTTTTTTTCATTTTCTTCCAAGTCCCCCGCCCCTTCTCTCGAGTTGAGTGATAGGGGACTTTGAAATTGCAGCGAGGCCAGCCGTTCACAAGTTGACTCCGTTGTTCCCGCCTAAAGATGCAGCGAACAGAACGCCGCACCGCCTCGTGACCCCTATCAACTTCGATAGCCTGACGCGGTCGCGAGACCCATATAACGCAATGGTCGTCTTCCATGTGCTCTTCAAGCTCCACTTACGACGGCAGTTTTCGAGGAACTGGGAGGGGGGTTGTGTCAGACTGAACGTATAGCGTTCAGCGACGCCATCAACATCGACCAGATGGGGTCGTAATACACAAAGAGGAACAGCGGAGGGACGAAGCGAGACTTTTGTCGGATGAGATTGCAATCTACTACACTTGCCAGTTCTTCGCCGCTACTCTCCCTGAAAGGTGAATGTGGATAAGATGGGCGGAGAGCCACATCAATTGACGAGAGGTGCTCTCATGGACAGATTCATGCCTCCCCTGGCTAATACTCTGCAAGAAACTTGCGGGCTCCTTCGTCAACTTGCTTAGAAGTATGAAAACCGTAAGTGGCTCCATGAAGGATTAGTGGTCACGAAAAAATATAGCTCTAAGGATGGAGGAGGGGGGGGGGAGAATGTCAGCTTCGGTATACAAACAGACTCCATTTCGTACATGTCAAGAAATGCGCGCGATGGAAAATTTTTCAATCACCTCGACAGACTTCTTCGTTATGGCTGCATTGTCTCAAAACAGTACTCCTTCATCTGCGTTTTTCAGAAACTCGTCCATTTTTGTGCATAACACTACTTTGTTAAGGTATGCACTCAGCCTATGTACTCGTGTTCGAGGGAGAAGCTTAAAGTATTCAGTGTAATTCTCTGTTTTCGCAGAGCAGCAGTTCCGAGTTTTTGGGTGAGCAGTGCTAGGGCAGGTGAAGTCGGTTCTTCCAAACCGGTGGGCGCGAAGTGTAGGTAAGGGCTGGTGTACCTGTAGTAGAAAGTGTAGCAAAATGGAGAGACTATGGGGAGGTAGGCTAGCGCAATTCCCGATGCAGCTCGGTTTGCATTCTTTAGCGATGGGAGCTAACGTTTAACAGGGTATCCAGTTTCAACAAGGTCTACCGTGTTACGTGCGTGGTAGCTAAACTGGTATATCCAATACTTTGTACAGGGTGTCCCAAAATTATGGGCGCCTACACACAGCAATATATTTCAAGCTTCTAAACGGACGATGCTGACTGAATTTACACATAAGGTAAATTGCATCATCCCCAACAATGTGGAACAACTAGATATCGAAATACTCTCCAACGCGACTAATGCAAGCTCGAAGTCGCTTCTTAGGCTTCGCGCACGTTGCACGCAGGAATTCCTCGTCTATTTCTTCTCAGGCTTCCTTCAATGTTCCTTCCAGTGACTCGAACTGTGACGAAGAACTTGACACACCTTACTTTCGCTCAACGACCACACTAAGAGGTGAGGTGGGCGCGAACCTGGTGAAAATGACGGCCGTTCCTCGGTGCCAGCAAAGTCGGGCAACTGAACTCGGCACCACACTTGGAGGAACTTGGCCATGTAGGCCTGAGCACTTTTCTGCTGGAAACAACTCGGGTTATTTCCAAGGTAGGACTCGTGCCGAGCCTTCATTACGTTCACCTCAAGTGTCCGGATTTGCTGATGAACTTACCGAAATCAAAGGAAAACTAACGGCCCCTTACCACTGGACGTGGTGTTCCTTTAAACCGAAATTGAGACCAGTTCGGTGATTTGCAAACAATCTTTTAGCGTGGAGTAGCACTCCTGACATTTCTGCCCGGAATGCAATCTTTCTGGCTATTGCCAATCCGCTCTGCTATGGAAATTTTTTCCTCATAAGAAAGGGTGGTAGGGTGCGTGTCCTCACTGAGGCGGGTGAAGCAACCTTCTGCAATCTTTGACCCTCTGTTGCTTGTTGATATCGAAAATGAGCTGACACTCCTGCATATGGTAGGAACGGCTATGTAGTTCTTCATTGACTACCTTTCCCATCGATGACTTCGATTCCTCCAGCTCCTCCGCCATTCTTCTGAAGGAGCGTCGTGGGTCGCGGTCAATTTGAGAATGGAACCTTTCAGACACCCTTCCGGCAGAACGGCCAGCCTTTCTACCTCTCTTAGGCCTATGCATAATGGACGCTGTTTCCTAGTATCGTAGGATAACCTTCCGTATAACCCTTGTGGAAACTACAAAATATTTGACATTGTCCTTCATTGGGGTATCCCCTCGTGCATGCGAATGATCGCAGGTCGCAGTGAAAGACCTCCCGCCCTCCTGAAGATAGTAGGGATTTCACACCTACAATCAAACAGGTTACAAGAGGACCTTTGTGTGTAACTAATCATCAGCAAATGAAGGGAGAATAATCGAGTACTTTTGCCAAACAAATTTTTGAATTTCGGCGCCCATAATTTTGGGACACCCTGTAGAGTAGATCGGCATGTGTTCATAAAGACCTCTATTTTCGCTAAAGCCTACAGTGTTATGCGCGATAGCGAGCGGAGTAAAACTGGTTTAGATTATAAACGAAGTGGAATAGAGATCGAAAAAAAAACTTGGTAGGTTTCTGAAAGTAGAAATCTTTATGATTAAATCATGTATTGGTTTACGCAAAAATTTGGAAATTCCTTCTAATGAATAAAACTTCATGTTGCCTCGATTCCCTCCTCTGAGCGAGACAAAGCGCGCGGATTGACCACGGTCCACCACTTCTCCATGTTGGTGACTGCCCATACATCAATGATGAGCATTAAATTATGTGAAAGACATAATAGTTAATATGGGGGGGGGGTCGTACCGATACCCTCCGAAAAGGAAGGGGGTCGTAAAAATTTTGGAATTTGCGCAACGCAGGGTTGACCCTGGGCAGGGTCAACTTTGCTACTTGCCATCAATTCTTTAACATATCAAAAACTTCGAGCATATATGGTACCAGTTTAGCTCCGCACACTACCGCGTGCATGACACGGAAGGGCTCCGTAAAGCTGGCCAGCCGGAGGAGCGTTAGGTTCCGCCGCTAAACAATAACTTGCTTCGTGAAATGCGTTAGCTGGCCTTCTACAGAATGCCCATTTTTAAACCAACCGTCTGATACGCGCGGTGGAGTGCGGAGCTAAAGTGGTGTCTGTAAACAGCCACCATGCATTGGATGTCAAAATGATTTCATCTCTTCATTTCATCACTCTTCACTTCTTGGAACCAACGCCCCACTGCTGCTGGGACGCGCGCTATGAATTCGTGAAATTTGCGTTTCAGCGCCTCTTATCAGCCTTATCAGCCCTTATCACTTTCTGTACCCCACCAACATGTTCCCGTCCCACCTGTACATCACTTCTTGGAACAACGCCCCACCACTGCTGGGACACGCGCTATGAATATCATGAAATTGGCGTTTTGGCGCCTCTTATCAGATCTTATCAGTGGGTATCACCCCACCAAATATGTTCCCGTCCCACCCTGTACATCACTTCTTGGAACCAACGCCCCACCACTGCTGGGACGCGCGCTATGAATTCGTGAAATTGGCGTTTTGGCGCCTCTTATCAGATCTTATCAGTCGTATCACTTTATAAACCCCACCAAATATGTTGCCGTCCCACCCCCTACACCATACTCAAAATACAGCGCTCCATGCCTGCAGCGAAGCGCGCTATGAATTTCGTGACAGACGGACGTACGTACGTACAGACAGACACACACACAGACAGACATACTTAGCGAATTATATACAGTAGGATTCTTACTTCACTGTTTAAGAAGTAGAAGTATGTAGTAATCGAACTAAAAGAATAGACTAGTTTTTATGAACTTCAACTTGATTGTGTGCTTCAGAGGGCTCACACAGGCCTTGACTTTCTCTATTTTTTAAAGATTTCAATTCTTAGCGCGAGGGGGTACCTGCGCACAACACAATTATTTTGCTCTTAGTACACTTGCAGAAACAGCAGCAGCAAAACATGTAGCTTCGTTCGAAGAAAGTGCTCTCACCATGGCATGGATCCAGCTACGAATCGCAGGTGAAACTAAAGTGAAATTAGAGCGTTCCCAACTAACATAATAGCCACCACGATTACGTTTACGCAAGATGACTGATACTAGAGCATCTATAAACCACGCTTCCCTCTAATGAGCTTTCAAATGAATCAGCGAATTAGAAGGGCGCCGAGGCGTGGCGCGCACCAAGGCAAGGGATGTAGTGCAAGCGCATGCTCGAAGCTTTCTAGCACATCCTAAGTTAAACATGAATTGGTTCTTCCAAGAAGTTACGGGCAGTGAAACCTAAAAAAACCCGCGTTCAAGCAAAGGCTTGAGGAATGCTCGTCCAACATAAATGGTTTCAACGGGTCTAGTTTCCGAAATGGGAATTTTTGGCATGAGTTTTAGCACTTCTTGCAACTTGAAGTTACTCATACTGTGATCAGCTTCCCAAATCAATAACTTTGAAGGAAGTTATAATCGTTCAAAGTTTGATTAAATTCGCATGTGCACGGGAAAAAAGTAAAAACGTGCAAATTTCTCATTAAAATAACTTTTCTAAACCGTCACGACTCACGACAGCCCAACATACGGGTTTATAGCAGCAATAGCGAACTCAAAGGCGCATTTGAACCATGGTGTTTTAGAGCCAACAGAGAGATTACGATGAGATTGGGTTGGGTTCATAGTGGAAGTGGGGATGCTGAATAATGCCCCAGTGGCGAAAAAAGCAAAGAAATCCGTCAAGAAGGCGCAAAATGGGACCCCTTTCTTTGCCCGTTGACCTCCGATAATGGACGAGCTAGCAACCAATTAGAGGTCTTTTGCACATGTTAACCGATAGCCACCATCATACCAGCAAAGGCCATGCTTTGATTGGTAACGCGTTCCATGGGAAAGTTATAGGATACGCACTCAAAGCGGAATACCTCATCAAAATGATAATCGAAGGACGCTGCTGCTGGGGGCGGAGCACAGGCCGTGGCGGAGCTCAGAAAGGAATGGCAAGCCCAGTACGCTGCAGCTAGCGCACCTTTGGCCACAAAAACGCAACATTTCGCTTCCTTGGCCCCTGACTACTGCTTCCAATGGTGCATGTACTTCCACGCTGCACACACACTTTATCGTAATCTCTCGCTTTAAGTTGGATTGAAGGCCCATGTAGTTAACAAAGAGCGTTGAGGCCATTGGTATCCT